TTACACCACAACATCGACCGAGAACACGTACGAAACAGTTAGAATAGAACATACCGTAAGGAATGGATGCACTAGACCCAATATACTGGATGCGTTGCATATCTGCGGTCTGGATTTGGTGAGAAAAGTGTCAAGTGAACGTTGGCAGGAGATCATGTTCTCCTCCATCCCCGTTACGCCGTTTCGTAGCCAGGCCAAAAGCCCTAGTTCTATTACTTGGCATCAGCTATTTAAGGCCCCCATCACGGGCCTAGTAGGCGGTGAGAACAGCATCAACAATTTGCACAAAGATCTTGGGGAAGTGCCTGGAAGGTGACACACCCAAAGGTTTGTCTCCCGAGTTCCGAGTGAATGAGGCCATTCCGCGCCATAATTCAAATTGGGACGTGCTATAGTACTGTATGTGAGTACGTGTATAAGTTTTCGTAGACTCTGGTTGAGTGTTGAGTGAGATATGGAGTGTGGCGCATGTTCACGGCCCAACTGAGCAAGGAGCACGAAAACATCGAAAACGTACGCACAGCTGCTTCTCTACATACACATGCCACTGGAGCATCTATCCCAACGTATTCCCCTTCCACTGGGTCCCCGAGAAGTCCAGAGGCAATGACACAACGCTCCAGACACTTGGGTGGACAGGTACTCGTCCTCCTTTCCTGAATCTTCTGCGTTTCAAACGCAACAAAAACACCATCTTTTCCCTCTTGGCATACGTACACTCCATCAATCAAGACGCCTGTCAGCCACATACAATGATCAGCAAAAGATTTCTCGAAGAAATGGGCTAGCAGGCTTGCCTAGACGATCATCTCCTCATTTCTGTGCGATTGACGCACTCACAGCAAGTTCCAGTGGTCTTGGCACGTATCAGCAGATACGCCCGTACACCTCCAAGTCATGGGTTGGGTGGTGAGACCCGCACCCAAGTGCCAGGACCAGCCCACGAAGATGCGAGGACCTGCTCCTCCTCCTCCCATTCGACCGCCGAAAGCGAGAAACAGTGCATTTCTAGACCATGTACGTCATCTTGGCATCCATCAAGGGGCCTGTCAGACTAGTCTAGCGAGTGAGAACTCGTCTGTCTGAGCGATATTGCGCGCAGAAGATGAGAGGAGGTGGAGACGGCGAAAGCGACGATCCTGCGCGAATCGCCTTCCCATGCTTTTGGACCGAGTGAATTAGCATCGGAACCGAGTGGGGGTCCTATCTGGAAGATGGGTAGGTAGGAGTTTGGGTCCTGTCTTTCCTCTCAAAGGCGTTGTGTGTTAGGGAGTGCACCATCGAGTACAAGTCGTTGCATTTCGATTCTGCGTCGTTTTCATTCATTTCTCTTGGTTCTTTTTTGAGGTGTGCGTAGTCCACAAAGCAATTGATGTATTCAAGCACTCTACACGTCGTGGTGGCATCCAGATGCACAGGAAACCCAAAGACGAACGCGAGAGGGGGGAGATCCAGCACGGATCAGATGCACCCACCCAGCGGATCGGCGCTCGCTTACCGTGTTGGTCCCA